ATTTCATAACATACAACGAGCCCAAAACCAGGTGTCACGGAGTACATGAGCATCTAGAGAAATAGCATAGTCCACTAAAATGTTTACTAAGTACAACTGAAACACATCTAGAATGGAGAAGGAGGGTCAAAGCCTGCGAACGCCATGCAGATACCTCAATAATCTCCAAAGCCTGCAACCTCGATCAATGAATGACATTGAGACCGAAAGTACCTGGATCTACACACAATATGCAGGGGGTAACGTGAGTACACCAACTTAGTAAGTAACGAGTTCAAACTATGGACTGAAAGGTAGTGATGAACTCAACCTCATCAGGGATAATAGAAATAATGTATAGAAATGTAGGCATGCTTTCAGTTAAATAGACAGCTCAAAATAGTGAAACAGAGCAGATATGAACATGGTAAAGAAATATAACTCTGCTACTCTACATGCCAATGCACATGCTGTATGTAATGTACCATGCTGAGTGTCTCATGTGCACATAATTCCAAATGCTCGTCCACTCAGTACTATATATGGCTCATACGGCCCAGGGAAGATCTATCCTGGAATATATACATCTCTGGAAGCAGTCACTTAGTATTGAAGAAGGGCAAACCAGCCCTATGGAGAAGAACTATCTCCAGATAATGATAATAACCTCACAACCACTCGGTGTTGTATATGGCTCACACTGTCACTCATAATCAGTCTCTCGGCCTCACTCAGTCATCACTCTCCAGTCTCATCACGGGCTTACAAATGCCATAAAACTAGCCCGAAATAGTGATATAATGTGAAAATAAACAACAACTAAGACTGAGAAGTGATATGAAATGCATGAATATGATTGAGTACAGAATATCAATAAAATCAGTAAGATGATAGCAAGAAAACGACCACTCGGGTCCCAACAGTATTGGCTTAAAGCCCTAACATGATACCTAGCCTGATTTATAGCTCCTTTACTTAATCGCATGATGGAAACATGAATATCAACAAGAAGAGTCATTAAACGGTGCCATGGAATGAACTAGGCCACAATTCTCACGGTGCCCGCCCCCACGCCCGTCAATTACACCCAATTTCATGTTGACCAAGTATTTACTTGGCCAAACAAACATGTCAAACTATGTAATTACATCCAAATCCATTTCCAAGGTGGCTTTCCAAACATGCTCTAAGTGATAACCTTTATAAGAAGGTTAAATAAGTTTATAGTGTAACAAAGATATGTAACTAAATGTTAGCATATTAAATATAGTACTTCTTGATCTTTTAGTCAATCCCCATTATTTGTCTCTGCAATTCGTTTCTAGATATTCAAGTTTTCTCGATACTTCACTCCAAATTCAGCATTCAGCACCCAATCCAAAGTTCATCATTTCAATTCTCCACCATGAAATGTGAAATGCTCTTCTTTTCGGCATTTAGCATAAATGTCTTTGCATCTTCCACTATCGACCAACATTAATGGAGGTAAAGCTTAAGGTTCTAATAGTATTGGTTTGTTAATATGATTGGATGTAAGGTATTCTTCCTTTTTCGATGCAAAAAATTAAAGGTAAAAGATCAATAATCCAATAATAAACTACAGGCGAATAATAAATCGGAGAAACTTACTCCTAGTATTTATTAGGAATAAAGCAAAGAATCTAACAATTGAGAGAGATAAAAATTGGGAGAAGGAAGGAAAATAAAAGTGGGGTTGGCTATCGTTTGATTTCGGTATTCTTGGGAAAAATGTATAAGAAGGAGAAGAAATTTGGGTGAAAGACAAATATGTCTTTATCTTTTATGTACTAGCACAAATAATTTTTAGAATTGAAAATAAGTATAATGCTAACCTACTATACTCATATCTGTGTGTGTGTCTATATATATATATATATATNCATAGGCATTAAACTCTATCCTTTTGAGGACTCTAGGCGTTCCCTTGTTCTACTTATGTTTAATGATGAAGATGGATGAAGTTAACTCTCAAGTAGAGGTGAATTAGTTTGAAAATGGCAGATCAAGTTATTGACCACCATAACATAGACCCCCTGGTGAATTATGAGGTTGTTCTGAATGAAAATGTACCTAAACAAGAATTGATGAGATTCGTGATGAATTGAACTTAGATACGTTATTTATGTTCTGGTGCTTCTTAAAGCAAATTAACTTATAAGAAATATACGAATGGTACTTGTTCGAAAATACTATAGGAAATAAAACAAATGCCCTCTTTTTTGGTCTAACCCGCATGATCTTATTCAAACAAAAGGCAATGCATCACGTTGACTTTTTTTGACATTTACATTTTACTTTATATGCAATCGATAAGTAGGAATAGCCATTAGATGCTGAGCTCTAGCTGTTACTAATCCGGATTTTTCAGTCATGTCAATATCATTTGGCAGCATGCCATTTGGTAGCTCCCAATCAAAGCAGTGAACCAATTGTGCGACCACCAAACGAACGATGGTGAGCCCTAACTGCAAACCAGGGCAACCTCTTCTGCCCGAGCCAAATGGTAAAAGTTCATAATTTCTTCCTCGAGATCAATATTGCTTCCTTGAAACCTCTCAAGTTTGAACTTTTCTGGCTCAATCCAAGTGTCTGAATCTCTCCCGATTGCCCAAACATTAAGCAAAAGTCACGATCTTTTAGGTAAATGAAAACCATCAACTGTGCAATCTTCAATAGACTCATGAGGAAGCAATAATGGTGCAACTGGATGGAGCCTACAACCTTCTTTTATGACCATATCCAAATACTCCAGACTTTCTAAATATAATTCTTCCACCATTCTGTTTTTACCAACTACTTGTTTCAACTCATTCTGGAATTTTTTTCATCACTTCAGGATGCCTTAAAAGTTCTATTAGAGTCCTCTTGATTGTTGTTGATGAAGTATCCATTGAAGCTATCAGCAAGTCCTGCACATATCAGTACTCTTTAGTTATTAACTCATAACATATTGAAAATTGGAAACTTCAGCTGAGTTTGCTTTCTACAGTCTAAGTGAAGGCCAGCGAAATATTTTTACACATAGAAAAATTAATACACTTGCCTAATATTTTTGAAACAAATGTGGAATTATAGTGAACATTACCAGTAAAATAGCTTTGACATGGCGGCGATCAAACTCGAATTCAGCTTCTTTAGATTGCATAATACTCATCAGTGTATCAACCATGTCTTTTGCTTGCTTCTGCTCCTCAGTGTATTGAACATGTTCATAAATAACTCTTTCCAGGAATTCATCAAAAAGCTTAGCTAATTCCTTCATACGACGAGTAAATCTCTGGAGGTCAAAAACACGAAGAAAGGGAAAGAATTCAACAAAATTTGGCATTGCTGCTATGTGGAGTATATCTTGAATCAGAGCTTTGAAACCCTTATCGCCAAGATCCTCGTCCATGTACTTCCTCCCAAATATCATCAGACAAGACATGTTCGCGCTAAGAGATGCAACTTTAGCACTAAGATCAATCACAATGCCTTCAGAAGCAGCCTGTTTGAGGAAATTCACAAGAATTTCGAGTTCTTTTTCCTCATAAGCTGAAATTGATGGATCTTGGCGTTGCTTAGCAATTGCAGAGTGCACAATTTGAGCATGTTTCTTCAATATAGTCCGTACTTGGCTAAGACCAGATTTCTCTATTCGTAAAACATGTGTTAAGAAGCTTCATTATACGGTCTGCTGGCAAAAGTCAAATCATGGTTTTTCAAGAAGAGTTGTGCAGCATGAGGAGAGGAAAAAATAATGACAGGAACAAGAACAAAGTGCATGGACATTATGGGACCATGCTTTTTGGCTAATTTATGTGAGCACCCAATTTTTGCCCTACATGAAAATAACTCCTAAAAATAAACCAAAAATAATTTTAATTAATTTTTAAGAGTTTTTCTTTATTTTGTTGCATTTCATGCATTTTTAAAATTTTACTAATCATAAAAATTGTCACGTTTTAATTTCATCTTAGGCTCAGTTTGCATGTAGTTATTAATTTTATTAAGCAAAAAATCACATAAAATGGTCATTTTTACATATTTGGATTTTAGCCTTTAAAATTAGTATTTTTCCTTAGTTTTAAGTTAATTAGTTGTTATAATGTTAAAAATAAATAAAGAATTATAATTTCTACAAAAATAGATTAATTCAAGATTTTAAATAATTAAAGAAAAAAAAGGAGAAAAGGAAATTAGGAAGAATATATTTAGGTCTTGTTTCTTTTAAAATACTTGGCCTGGGCCAATTACTAAAAAAAGGGCCCAATTCACCTTTTTCTTGCCCAACCCAATACCATACCCAATACCTTCTTGGCCCAAACTCCATTTTCATTACAAAAACAAACAAACAAACAAAAAAAAACCTAGACCTAAGAGAGGATATCAGATTTTTCCAAGGCTAGCGCAGCTTTCACCTTGGTCCTACCCTCTCGATCTTCTTCCTCATTTTTTTCTCACTCAGAACAAGAACCAAAAACCAGACCCCTCCCATTTTCCCCCATCTTCTTTTTCTTCTCAAGCCATAAGAATCAAACCATCATATCCTACACCCTAAGAACCTAGAACAGAGAGGCTCGTCATCTCCGTCCCTCCCCATCTTTGCACCCTCACTTTCCACCAACCACTCCCACGCCAGTCTCTCTTTCTCTCTCTAGAGTCATTCAGTCAAGTACTGAACATTAACGGAGAAACAGAAATCGGCAACAATGGCAGCTACATTTGCTACAGTTTCGAATTTAGGCTCACTCTCAGCTCCACGAGCTGCTGCAAACCCTACATATGCTTCTCCTAAGTTGGTGAAATCTTCATTCTCATCGTCAAGTTTCTTTTCTGGCTCGTTGCGCCTCGCTACTTCATTGAACCGTTCGGTTCTCAGAAAAACCGGCGCTTTATCCGGGTCCATTCAAGCCGCAGTGCAGGCGGCCGAGGTGCAATCCAAAGTGACACAGTTTATTTTGATATTAGCATTGGGAATCATGTTGGAAAGCTTGCCGGGCGAATTGTAATTGGATTATATGGTGATGATGTGCCACAAACAGCAGAAAATTGTAGGAATATATACCATAGCAGAAGCAATAACAGAATCTTATTCACATGTAATCTAAACAACTAGCACATTTTAGGATTACCTCTTGAAGCGTAAACACAACAAATCTATATCGTTCTCTAATTCCTCAGTTGAAAACACACCAGTAGAGTTCCACAGTCTTCTGCTGTGTTACCCAAACAATAACCGAAAATGGAGAATTTTGGGTGGGCAAAATTCTAGTAGAAACCGCAGTCCGAATCTTGTCAAAAAGATTCGGCTCTTATATCCATATATATAGTTGCGTTTTAGGTCAAAACCATTTTCAAAACCTGTTAGGTTTCCTTTTCCCACGGTTTCCACGTTTTCCACATTTTTTTCCCACTAAGTGACAGTTTCCACTATTTTCTATTATTTAGGCACAGTAGGGACCATAAAATTTAATTAACAAGGCTTCCTATTATGATATTAATTTCCAAATTCTGAAATTAATTTTCATCATAATAAATTACGAATTATTCCACTAAAAATTCGTAATTGCACTCCTTAGTTCAATTTCGAAATTCTTCCATAAAACCTTATTTAACTCCACATGTTAAGATTCAAATACTAATCAATCAAATTAAATTACTGACTATTTAATTTATTGATTACTTTTTTTAGACTTACACTTAACTTATTTAATGTGTCGGATACAAAATCCACCGGCCGGGTTTACACATGAAAACTTATAAGCTTTCATAAAGGAGTATCATCCATCTCAAAATCGAGACATGGATTCCATCAACTAATTATTACTTCGCCAATGTATATCATTGTTATCCAATTTACCAGGCTTATTGACTCGCGAAAGAATCTCGTCTTTTAATAAATCAAAACAACAAGTGACATACACAGCTAATAATAATTATATCAGGATTAAGAGTATAAGTACATTAAATGGACTAGAGAAATTATTTTATAAAGTCAGTATAAAATACTCATCTCTACTTGATCCGTTCAATACATACAAAATGTACTAGCACAAGAAGTTGGAATTAAACCATTCCCATAATCAAGATAAATTATATTTAATCTTGTGCTACAATCATTCCGATGATTTGTCCAATTCCATCATTAGATTGTGAACATTAACTTTTATGTCTTACAAGAACCGATGATTTAATCTTCCGTGTATAAGCTAAACTCTATACACTAAATCATCTACTATGTAAGCAATGGACGCCCAAACCAACACATGATCTATTTAAAATGAAACTTTATTGAATTTAAACAAGTAAATAAATAATTGTTCATAAAGAATACTATAACAATACGCATGGCTTATAGTATATTCTAACAAAAAATTCTGTGCACTCTGCACAGGTGAGAAGGGTTTTGGCTACAAGGATTCTGCATTTCATCGTGTTATTAAAGATTTCATGATTCAAGGAAGTGATTTCGATAAAGGAAATGGAACCGGTGGTAAAAGCATATATGGTCGTACCTTTAAGGACGAAAACTTCAAGTTGACTCATACTGGACCTGGAGTTGTTAGCATGGCTAATGCAGGCCCTAATACCAATGGAAGCCAATTCTTCATTTGCGCTGTCAAGACCCCATGGCTTGATGAGAGGCACGTTGTGTTCGGGCAAGTTTTAGAAAGCATGGACATTGTGAAATTGATTGAGTCGCAGGAGACCGATAGGGGTGACCGTCCAAGGAAGAGGGTTGTCATCAGTGACTGCGGTGAGCTACCAGTGGCATGAGGCGGGAATACAAATATAAAGCACTTTATTATGTTAAGGCCCGTTGCCAGATATAAGAGGATTCTCAGTACTGAGTTTTCATCCAAAACCCGGCTTTTCCCTGTTCCTTTTTTGGGTCTCTGTAGGATTTCGAATTACAGGGTAAAAAATTTCTTGCTAGTAGTGAGTATGTTGTATTCCTGTAACCTGGGCAGATGCTAGTTTAGTTGACATTGAATATACTAGATGGTAATAGACTTGTTGCTTCTATACAACCACTGTTTGGATTATGTTTGTCTTGATTAATGTGATGAATTAGTGTTGCATCATNTAGACTTGTTGCTTCTATACAACCACTGTTTGGATTAAAAAAAAAAAAGAACCTAGAACAGCGGCAGAAAATGAGCTCCATTTGATGCGATTTATTTTTAATTTCGCTGAAGTTGGCTATTTTCTGAGCTCCATCTGCTGCTTCTTGCTGGGGAATACGGACAGAACAAAAAGAAAACGAAAAAACTGAAAATTAAATGATTTGAAGGCTATTTGAATTTCTGCTCTTTTATTTCAATTTTCTGGAATTTTTGATTGACATTTGGATTGTAGAAGTGTGTTCTGCTCGCTGATTTCGCTGCTTTATTCTGGAACGGGCCATGCTCTGACTGTAGCAGCTATTTACAGCTTTCATTTGGTTTGTTTTCGGTCATTTTTGCTGTTTGGATTAGATAGCTACTCTATCATTCCTCGCACTTTGTTATGGATTGAAATAAGTGAGGAAGAGCAGAATTCAAGTGATCTATCAATGACATAGTTATTGAATCAAGTCATATGTTGCTGTAATGTTGAATTAAGTCTGGCTTAAGCTTATTAAGGTGAAGTCTCTTTTTTGCGATCATATCTCCTGCGTGAGTGCTTATTCAAGGTAATTTGTTGGACTTTTATGTGATTTTGATGTTTGTTTGAAAGTTGGATTTTTGGTTTTCAGTTGATTATATTTTGACATACTCAATTTTCTAACTGTTTTGAGTAATTTTTGGTTCCAAGGTAAAAAAAAAAGTTATGTAAAATTAATTGTTGGTTTGCTGATAATCTAACTGCTTTTGGTGTGTCATAAATCAGCATACCTTATAACCTTTATTTCAAAATTATTAATGATTGTTCATGTAGCTTTGTAGTACATGATATGAAAATATTGAACTTTGTTTCCAATTTTGTATCCAGTGCGTACTTAATTCATTTTACTGAATTGTTCCTCTCTTCTCTGCCATTTCATATCAAAACAAAACTGATAAAAAATAGTTGTTCCAACTTTTGTAATGTTTGCACGGGCTAGCACCACCTAGTAAGTGTTAGAAATAAAATAATCAAATTAGCTTTGAGACGTGAAAATCGACTGTCCTTAAAGAGTTATCGCCTGTATACTAATTTAGGGAAAATACAAAATGATTCTCTTCAGGATACAACAAAGCCTGCAGTAATACTTGTGATTTTCTATATCCACTTCGTTGGAATTCTTGTGTATTTATAGGCAACCAATAGACCCTTTCAGAAAAGATGTCTTGTTTCACAAACAGACACGACTATTTATTCGAATTTTAAATTCAAAATTCAAATAAATAATTAACTCTAGGATCTCGTGCCTGTTGAGTTAATCTCGTGTCTGTTGAGTCAGTCTCGTGCATGTTGAGACAATCTCGTGCCTGTTATGTGCTATTTCATAATGATCAGTTCTGAGGCTAACAAACACGGTACGAGTAAGGTCGGTCCCGGGAGTGTTTCACATGACAGGCACAGAACTTCTTTCTTCCGATGTGGGAAGAATCCAACTTCCAACTTGCCAATAACAAACTATCTTACAATCCCCCACTAGTTTGTTATTTCACTTCATAACACTTGTGAATAATTGAAAGTATCTTTTACAGATTTGAACTTTCCTTTAGTGTAAGTATATTAAAGTTTTGACGAAGTTAATGGTATCAAGATTTGAACCACAAATCCTTGTGCCAAAACCGAAAATACCACACACACAGTGTTATCTAGTAGCTTAGAAAATTCAGTATTCGCTTTACCACGTTTACGGCCATGTGCTCATCCTGAATTCATGAATATTTACAAGATCAACCCTTTAAATCTTGCTAGAAGCGGCACCACTTCAATATTCATATAGGTGGAATTAGTTAATATGTCCCTGTTACTCCAGACATTAATAATTCCATTAAGATTAATCAACCTCTTCATGTAACAGTATGCACTTTGGAGTTTGTCTTTATGCCCCTGTTATAACAAGCATTTAACAACTCCTTAACTCCTCATATAACAGTAAGTAGTACAATAGAATTAGGGCTCCTAAAGAGGAGATCAGTGCTTAAACAATACAAGTAACTTGTTATTACGCATTGATCTTATATTGTTAGAGTGTATACTAACTCAAAGTGGGGTTCCCATTCCTTGTATTTAATTTAAGGGTCTCAGCCCCATCCCTCCACAAGTTTGTTGTACTACATCTCTACCTAATGGCTTCGTAAGTGGATCAGCCAAATTCTTATTTGATCTCACATATATTATAGCTATATTTCAATTTGTAATTAATTCTCTTATATAAGCATGTCTCACGCTTATATGTCTCGATTTCCCATTATAAATTTTATTGTGAGCAACACACATTATAGTCTCACTATCACAGAATATGGAAATGGCTGGCATAGGTTGTGGCCACAACTTTATATCAAGTAACATATTCCTCAG